CAGCACTTGGGAAGCCGAGCATGAAAATTAGGAGTTCAAGGCAAATATCAGGTACACAAAATGTTTGAGACCTGCCTGATTTACATGATGCCTTGTCTTAAATACAAATAAAACTGATCAGAACACTTTAATTACAGAAGCTCTAAGGAGACAGCTTGTAAGTACTTCAATATAAACAGCAATATGATAAATAAGTGCATAAGTTTTCCAGTCTAACAAAATATGGCTTAAGGCCATTTCCTAGTCTATAAAATAGGTCAAAACATTATTAACCTTATATGATAGTTATGAGGATTAGGTAATGTTAAGAACCAGGTACATAATCAGCACTTATCTTTGAAGGTATCAGAAGCACTCTAGCAAATGTTCACAGCTATAGACCTTCTTGTATTTATACTGATAAGCTTTTAAGAGGGTGAGAAGCATACAAGCGGTGCCTAGACATGCTCTTATGTTACTGTGGTTGCTTTTAGCTCCCAACACTGGCTTTCAGGTGTGTATAACATTCTGAGGGGCTCCTGGATAATTATATACTGTCTTTGTCCAAAATAGACTTAGAGGTATCTTATGATAAGTTAGCTTTAGAGTCTATCTTTATTTGTTACCTTACCAGAAAGCTGAAGTTTGTCATTTACTCTGTGTGCCACAAATACATAATTTGTTGGTGCATCAGTTAACTTTTCTTAAATGTGAATGGTAATAATAGAATGTTAGTATTGTGAGTATGAAATTAACTAGTCCATGTCAAGTCCCAGAAGCAAACAGTAAATAAAAATTAATTATTTGCATTTCTTTCATCTGTTCTCTTAAAAATTCATGGAGCCAGAAATATGGTGCAGGGAATTGGACCATTTGCTGGTTCTTCAGAGGACCTAAGTTCAGATGCTAGCACCCAAATCAGACTATTCACAACACCCTATAAGCCTAACTCCATGGTGTGCAACCCCTCTTCTGGTCTGCACAGCATCTTGATTCACATGTACATATACACGCATACATACACAACTGAATAAAAACAAAAATAATTGTTTAAAAATGTACTAAAGCATACTTAGATGTAGTAGATGAAATACATATCAACTCAAGTACAGTAATGACTTCAAACTGTGAGCATAATTTCTTTAAGGGGGCAAAGAGGTGGGCAGGTGGAGCATGCCACTACACCTAGCACTTGGGAGGTAGAGACAGTAGGGTTTCTGACTTGGAGGCCAGCCTGGTCTACACAGTTCCAGGACATTCAGGGCTACACAGAGAAACCCTATCTCAATTAGTTTATTTCAAGAGCTGTAAATTAGGTAAAATAAAAAAGACTACGAGAAGATATGTTTCAGACTGCTCCCCTCTCTTTATTTTCATTTATATATCATTACCCTATACCCCTCAGAAAATTTAGTTCATCAGATAACTAGACATATATTCACTGTGTATAAAACCACACCATGTCAGGCAGTGGTGGTGCATGCCTTTAATCCCAGCACTCAGAGGGCAGAGATAGGCAGATCTCTGAGTTCAAGGCCAGCCTGGACTACAGAGTGAGTTCTAGGACAGCCATGGATACACAGGGAAACCCTGTATTCAAAGGAAAAAAACAACACTACAACACTACACCAATGTGTCCCTGTCATTTAAAACAAATACCTAAATTTATTCTGCAGCTAAAGGACTACGTAAATGACTTAACACAGGGCTGTCCTAAGTTTCCCAAATGTACAAAATAGAACAGAGTCTAATAGTTACAAATTTCCTAAATTACTTGAATGTGGGTGACATTAAGCAGGAAAGACTACTAACTCAGAAATCTTTCATTCTAGTTGAAATAATTCTGGTATAATATTTAATTTTAATACTTTGGATAAAATATTGAAGGTATTAATTTAGGATCTTACCAGTCTATACTAAAGCTTTGACATATCCACAACTGCATGCTTCCATGTGAGTCTTATGGCAGTTGCTACGCTTTGTTAGTCCTGGCTCTGTTAGTTGAATATCTTTCTATTTATTTCTTCAATACATTCATAGAAATTTAGGTGCTTAAATTTTAAGATCCATAGTTATTGAATAAAAAACACAACAATGTAACTTTATGAGACAGTGTTCATTTAAGGTTTTCCACTACCAAGGATCATCTTCATTAATATTTATTTATTTCATTTTTTGATTATGAGTGTTTTGTTCACATATATATCTATGTACCAGACCCATGGCTGATATCCATGAAGATCAGAAAAGAGCATCAGTTGAGACCTGCTAAGTAGGTGCTGGGAATCAAACCAGGTTCTCTGCAAATCAAATGCTCCTAACTGTTGATGAATTTCTCTATTTTACTTTGTGAATAGGAGGTACACGTACCACACTTCATGTGTGGAGGTAAGTTCTTCCATTCTACTATGAGGATTCCCCTCAGATCATCAGGATCTTACCAACTGAGGCATCTCACCAGCCCAATGATGTCCTTTTGAATGTGTGACATAGGGAACATTTGTGGCTCTGGGTAAGAATCTCAACATTTCTTTTTCATCATTTGTTTGGGGGCACTGGTGCAATTCTTTTTTTTTTTTCTTTTATTCTCTCATATATTACATTCTGACCACAGTTTCCCCTTCCTCTACTCTTCCCAGTCCCCCCATCTCCTCTCTCCTCTCATTCCCTTCAAAAAAAAAGAGCAGTCCTCCCAGTGATATCCACTGAACATGGCCTATGAAGTTACAATAAAACTAGGCATAAACCCTCATAGGAAGGCAAGACTGGGAATTCAAGATACATACTGAATTTAGCTGTGTCTCTCTCAAAAATTTTTACAAATATTAGCTGTAAATATATGGTGAAGAGTCATTAATGTAGGACTGACTGGTTTTTAGTAGAGCAATTGTCTAGCATATGCAGTTCTCTGGATCCAACTCCCAACATGACACACATAAAATATTAGATACACAGTGCTCAAACAATGTTAGCTTAATCGGAACCTACATTGGAAAGTGATGAATCATGGAAGAAGAAAAAGTAAAAGTTCTGCACTTCTAAGCATAAATTTTCACAAAGAATAATACACATATATTCAGCTAAACATACATCATAAAATAATAAAACAACAATTAATGAAATGTAATAAAAACCAAGAAGTTTTTGAGAAAATAATAGACATTCTTTTTGGATATGTGGCTGAACACACAAAAATTATGTACAATCCCCAAAGCCTCATATGTTTAAATACTTGGTCCCCAGTTGGTGAAACTGTTTGGGAAGGTTTAATAGGTGTAGCCTTGTTGGATGAGGTGTATCACAGCAGGGAGTAGGGCTTTGAGATTTCAAAACACTTGTAGAACTCTCTGCTTCCTGCTTCATGTTCTGCTGGTTGAGATAGGAGCTCTCAACTGTTTCCTGCCATTATACCTTGTTTTACCACAATGGTCAATCTTCTGGAACCATAAGCCTAACTAAATTCTTCATCTGAAAGTTGCTGCCATCATGGTATTTTATCATAATAATAGAAAATTCACTAAGACATAGGGTAACATGGTAGTAACCAGAAGCAAGAAAAGTTCTCTCTCTTTCTCTTACTCTGTGTGTGTTGTGTGTGGTGATGGGCAATGTGCTGATGTTCAAGCAGTGCAGTTTCAAGGAAGTTAGAGAAATAAATGTTAAAGTTCTATTTAAAAAAAAAAGAAAAATATAAAGATAACCGGAAACCACAATTAACTGAAATTGGCCCTGTAGATACCTTGGAAACTTCTATAACATATGTACTATGAAACAACAGGCAACAAGATTATGGCACTAGCAAAAGGAACTGGGAACAGAAACAGACGAATAAATCTAGAATACTGTCTCAGTTACCTTTCTATTGCTGTGAGAAGACACCATTTAATTGGGTGCTTGCTTAAACTTTCAGAGAGTTAGGCCTTGATCATCATGATGAGGAACATGCTACTAGAACAATAGCTAAGAACTTACATCCTAATATACAGGCAGCGAGTAGAGAAAGAGAGATGGGGCCTATTGGTGTGGGCTTTTGAAACTTCAAGGCTCACCCTCAGTGAAACACTTTCTCCAACAAGGCCAAACCTCTTCATCCTTCCCAAACAATTCCACTAACTGGAAACAAAGCATTCAAACATATGAGCCTCTAGATGCTAGTCTTACTCAACTACCACAAATACTTAAAGTATTTTTTTTTAGTGAAGAAGTAGCCTATCAAACAGACACCATATAATACCTATCCATTAAACATTTCCTTTTATAGTTGTTAGTTCTGAAAACCCAAAAGCTCAGAAAGGAATGATTATTTCTAAGTTTATAGTACTAGAGAAGAAAGTAAACACAAATCATTCATACATGGATATATTTCCATTTATTCTGATTATACCCCAAAAACCCGAACCAAATATGAGCAAAATTTAATGAAATAAAATAGAAAATAAACTTCTCAGCAGTTGAGGCACACACTTTTATTCCCAGAACTTGGGAGGTAGAGGCAGAAGGCTTTCTGATTTCAAAGCCAGCCTGGTCCACAGAGCAAGTTTCAGGACAGCCAGGGTTACAGAGACACTTTGTCTCAAAAAAAAAAAAAAAAACTACTAAAAAAATACTGTCTGAAGCATTCAAAGTCCCCCTAATGCCATGTGACTCAGGCAGATTAAAGACACCCACAGGGCAGCCTGGGTTCTCATGGTTCAGGCTGCTTAAAGCATCCATATGCCTACCCAGTGCCAATATGATGAGCAAGTATACAGTCGTGAAATGGAAGAGAAAGAGAGGTGGAATGGTTCATGTGCTAACAGGGAAGTTCTGAAGAAGCAAGGGCTGTGAGAAATGGGCTCATGTTGGCAGCCTGCTTGCCATCTAGGACCAGGGTGACTTCTGGGCCTGGGCTGCTGCCTATGAGCATGTTGGCATCTGTGACAGCTGGGGTCTGTGTTGACATCATGACTCATGTTGTCATAAAGGTCAGGGGGATGCTCAGGGTATCAACAGCCACCTGTGGCCATTTCAATGTACAACGTTCGTGCTACCACCAGGGCCATGCTGATCTAAGTGAACTATGCTGGAAATGGGGTCATGATGACATCCAGGCCTGGGCTGCTGCCAGGGGCCATGTTTTGGTCCATGGCTCTACCTCAGCCAGGGTCTCCTATTACCACTGAAGGCCATGCAACCATGCCAGGTATAAGACATAACCTGAGGCCAGGTAGGGATCCGAGGTTCATGCTGCAGCCAGAGCCAAAGAGATCTGAGTGACCTGCACTGACACAAGCTGATCTGGTGACATTCAGGCCTGGGATGCAGCTGAGGACTATGTCTGGGTCCATGGTCCTACCACACACAGGGTCTATCTTCTGTGGCCTGTGGTGCCACCAAAGGACACACGGATGCCCAGGATCTAGGCCACAACCTTGGCCATGTTGGCACCTGAGGGCCTTGTCACCAACAGGGCCACACCAATTTGAGTGTTGTCTGAACCAGGGCTGCTGCTGAGGGTCATGTCTGGGTCCTTGGCCCGAACACAGTCAGGATCTCTGTTGACATCTGTACCTGCTGATACCATCAAAGGCAATGCCAATGCCAGGGGTCTGGGCTGCCACCTGGGGCCATGGTGACATCTAAGCTAGGGATGCTACCAAAGACCATGTCTGTGTCGATGGTCCTACCACTGCCAGGGTCTGTGTTGATATCCATGGCCCACAGTACCACCAAAGGCCACATGGATACCCCGGGTCTGGGCTGCACCCTGTGGCCATGTTGGTGTCTGAGGGTCATGATGCCACCAGGGCCATGCAAATCTGGGTGGCCTTCACAGCCACATGGGGTCATGGTGTTGTCCTTGCCTGGGCTACTGCTGTGGTCCATGTCTGGGTCCATGGCACAACAGCAGCCATAGTCTGAGCTGATGTCCATGGCTCATGTTACCACAGGGGCTCATAGGAACCATGTGTGTTGAAATCTGAGGGCTGTGCTGAGCCAGCCCTGCACCTCACTGGCCCTGAAATAGCTTTCCCTGTCCCTGGCTGGTCACTGAAGCAGGAGAGCTGCCTTTGTCTTCCCAGATAGCCACAGGATCTCCATGAGGACCCAGTGATGATGGTATGCCAGAGGCCTTGAAACAGACCAACGAACATTTTGTGCATGGGGCTAATTGGACAAAAGGGTATACTGAGCGACACACTGCATCTCCCAGTGCCACTAGAATGAATGAAGAGGTGTTGGGAAGATGGGGGAATCAAGGTAGGTTCTTCATGTTTTTTTTTTGTTTTGTTTTTTATTAATTGAGGGAGCATGCTGTAAGGGTATGGGGCAGATATGGAGTGACTGTGAGGTGAGCGAGATTGGGATGCATCGTGTGAAATTCCCAAAGAATCAATAAAGAATTATGTAAAATAAAATAAAATAAATCTCACTTTTTAAAGACATGGAAAAATAAGACTAAAAGATCTCCACAAAATAAAGCCATCTCAACAGGGGCTAAAAGAATTTTGAGAATGAGAAATATAATCATTAAGAGTAAATAGTTGGGACTGGAAATACTTCAGTGGCTAAGAGTGCTTATGACTCTTCCAAAGGACTAAGGTTCAGTTCCCAGTACCCACATCAGGTAGTTTATAACTGCTTGTAACTTGAGTTCTAAGAGAACCAATGCCTTCTTCTGGTTCCTCTGGCTCCTCTGGCACCCGCAAATATGTGTATCACATAGATATACTCAATCACACACACATATACATAAAATAATACAGTTTAAAAATATTTTAAAGACCTTCATACATCATAATTTTCATAAATAGAAATAGTTTACAATGGATTATAATGCAATTTATAAAACAGCATATTGGAGGTCACTGACAAGTAAAGGGTCAACATAAAGAGAATAAGAGATCTTGGCCCTAAATGGGACATAGATATCACACCCCTGTTTCTAAGATGGAGGGATCTTCTCATAGAGGGTACAAAACCAAAAGGAAGTAGATAACTTCAAGGAAACTTTCTTTTTTCAGATACAACAAGGTGGATACACATATAAACTCACAGCAATTGTGACAGCATTAACAAGATCTGTACAAACTCCAGCAAAACAAAAACCCATCATAGAGGGAGGGATGGAGGTGAGCATAAAGCCTCACTCCTAGCTGAGGAGGTACTAGAATGCAATAGCAGCTAGGAGACCGAGAATCAGTTCCCTTTAGTGATATAAACCCTAGTAAGTCAACTACAATGCAGAACAGGCTCCACTCCCAAGAGTAGTTAGGCAACACAAATTGGATGCAATTGGACAAAAAAGAACAAATCTCAAAATTGGATGGGTAGGGAGGATATAGGGAGAAAATAGGAGGAGGAGTTTGGGGAGGGAGATAAATATCATGGAAACTTTCAAAGAATTGGTAAAATTCTTTTTTGAAAAAAAGCAAATGCAATGCAATTCATAAAGCAGCACAATGGAGGCAGCTGAAGAACAGAACACAGGAGGCAGCAGACAACCACCAAGACCAGGAAACGTGACTGAGCAGTCAAGAAATGTAAATGGTAACCAAAGAAGGTCCAAAGTACTTAGAGAAATTGTTGTGTGTATAGTAAGATAGGGAGGAGGCATAATTTAAATAGATTATGACCTAAGAAAGTAAAACACTGTATAATAGCAAAGACTTTAAGTGTACAAGGAGAAAAGAATTTCTAAGAGAATAAATTTAGAATCTTTATACTAGCAGATGGCAAATGGCAATGGCAAAATAACCCCACAGGTATGAGAGCATATAACTGTCTATATAGAAATTATTATTTAAAACTGAAGGGGAAATGCCAGCAATAGGCATCCTAAGGGAATACATGAAAGATGTATTATATAAGGAAGGAAACTAAATACAGAGACATAAGTCAAGATGTAAAAGAAAACAGAAGAAAAAACTATTGCGTATGCTTATGTATTTCGAAAGAATTACTGCCTGAATATTTGACTTTTCAGCAAGGACATAACATGAAATTATTAAAATAAAGCATAAGAAGGGAAAATATTATAAAAATTGTAAAGGCATTACTCCTCATGATTTTAAACATAAAAACTAATTAACTCTAGAATTGATTACATGCAGTAAAAAAAATTTAAAAATCTAAGATTTCAAATTTAGAATAAATAAATAAAAAAAAATATAAAATTTCAAATTCAGAAGTAATAAATAACCAAAAGCAGTAACCTAAACTTAAAACAAAGCAAGAAAAAACTACAAACAGAATAGAATTGGTAAAAATCTTTTTTGAAAAAAAAGCAAATGCAATGCAATTCATAAAGCAGCACAATGGAGGCAGCTGAAGAACAGAACACAGGAGGCAGCAGACAACCACCAAGGCCAGGAAATGTGATCGAGCAGTCAAGAAATGTAAATGGTAACCAAAGAAGGTCCAAAGTACTTAGAGCTAAAATTTAGATTGGGGCATACAAAAATACATGAAAAAGATATAACTAGACACCAATGAAATTGGGACATGGGGGCCAGATAGGATATTTGGTCTTTCAGAGGAGCCAGGTTTAGTTCCGAGCACCCAGCTAGTGGCTCACAAATCTGCAGTTCCAGGGAATCCATCATCCTCTTCTGGCTCCCATACACATGTGGTACACAGACATACATACAGATATACATGCACACATATAAATTTAATGATTAGATAGTTATTCACTACTGAGAATAGGAAAAGTATATATCTGCATATACACACACACAGCAATAGATATATAAGTAAAATATTTTAAAAGGATGCAGAAAGGTTAAAAGTGGGAGAATGTAAAAGATGTTAATGATGAACAAGTAAAAATAATCTAATATATATGACAGTTATAGTTAACATATTTAAGCATTTTACTAAATGAATATTCTTCCTACCACAAAACATCTATACTAATGAATACATTAATTTTCTTCACTACATTAACTAACCATTTTATTATCTATGTATCTGATAACATTTATATATTTTAAATATCCAAAATAAAATTCTGTTTTAAAACAAAATTTATATTGAACAAAAGCTTAATGACATTATTTCAAAATACACAAAAGATAATTAACAAAATGAGTAAAAGCAATTATGAAATATATCATTAATTAGACAAAAAAATTAATAAGTCTGAATTAGTCCGTAACACCTATTTTTAAGGGTCTTATAGTAAAAACTTGGAGTAGATATTGGGGTAAATGCTGAAAGATCAGAAAGACAAAGGAACAAGCCACTGCTACCTTTTACCTCTAGGACTCCTCAGCCTGAAAAAACCCTCTAGCCGAAAGGGCTTGAGTTCCTGTCTCCTCACCCCTTATATACCTTTCTCTGCCCATCCATATTACTTCCTTTTTACTGCTGGGATTAAATGTGTGTGACTTCCCAAATAATGGTAGCAGGAGGCATGAAAGCTCATAAAGGCGTGTGATTATCAAGTACTGGGATTAAAGGTGTGTGCCACCACTTCCTGGCTTTGTTTCTCTCCTAGACTGAGTCAATCTCATGTAGTCCAGGGTGGCTTTGAACTCACAGAGATTCAGATTTCTTCCTCCTGAGCTAGCATTAAAGGTGTGCACCACCACTGCCTGGCATCTATGTTTAATCTAGTGGCTTGTTTTGTCCTCACTACATTAGTCAGCATAATTTTCTATTTTAATCTAAAGGATGGAGACCATGCATATACATTTTTAATCTTCTATGCATTTCTATTGCTGTGATGAAACACCATGACCAAAGCAAGTTTAGGAGGAAAGGGTTTATTGAAGATGTATAACTTAAGTTGATCAAATGAGCCTTATCTATTTTGGAGAGGTACATGGTGTATTATTTTTTTTTCTGTCTCTTAGGAATGAAAGGTTGATTTTGACTCACAATCAAAGGATATAATCTATCATGGTAAAGTCATGGTGGCAAGAGCTTGATGCTGCTGGTCACATTGCAACTACATTCCAGAAGCTGAGAGCCAGTTCCCTTTCTCTTTTTTACTCTCCTTTCTCCTTTTCATTCTTTTCTCCAGTCCATGGAATAGTACCACCCATCACACCTTCTCACCTCAATTAACCTACATGAATCTGGATCTTGTCAAGTGGACAGTGTTGACCATCACACATGACACCACACTCTTTTGGACAGTGTTCATTTGGAATTCTCTATGCACACACGTTAAACATAATAGAATACTAATAATTAGTCAAATAAGGTCATTCAAAGATGCCATATCAAATAGGTCATGTGCTTCACCATAGTAAAAATAAAATAGTTTTAAATTAAATTCGCTTTTAAATTGAAAAGCTTATCTTCAATACTGTCTTAAAATGGAAGGGAAATAGAAATTACAAAATGAATATAAAGAAAATAGATGCTGAAATATTATATTACTCAAAACTGTTCACTTCAGGTAAAGTGATAGTGAAATAAAATTTTAGCTTACTTTACATATGCAGGAACTTTGAAGATTTATTCAAAATATATATTTTAATAAATTAAAACATAAAATGGGAAAAATCCAATAAAAGTTGAAGGGAAAGGTACATTTTACAAGCAAGAGGGAGGAATATAAAAGACAATTAAGGGCTGGAGAGTTGGCTCAGTTGTTAAGAGCACTGGCTGCTCTTCCAGAACATCTGGGTTCAATTCCCAGCACCCACATGGCAGCTCACAACTGACTGTAACTACAGGTCCAGGGTATCCAATACCATCACACATACAAAATATCAGTGTATATAAAATAAAAACAATGAATGAAATTTTAAAATCTATTCAAAAAAGACAATGAAAGGCATCAGCAAGGCAAACAAGACTAGCTAAACTGACAAAGTTCTACCAATATTAAGAGAGAAGCATGACTACACATGAATATGATTTAATTTCCCAAGATATGTTTACATAATTAAATAAGCAATTTATATACTGAAATTGATGCAGGGAAAAATAAATACTCAGAATTATCTCTGCCTTAGTGTTTCTGTTATTGTGATGAAACACCATGACAAAAAGGAAGTTGAGGAGGAATAGATTTATATGTTTTACACTTCCTCATTATAGTCCATCATTGAAAGCAAGAATTGCTTTTAAGTACAAGAATTCAAACAGGTCAGGAATCTGGAGGCAGGAACTGATACAGAGGCCATGAGGGGTGCTGCTTACTGGCTTGCTTAGCCTGCTTTCTTAAAGACCCCAGGATCACCAGCCCATTGATGATGACACCAACGAAAATGGGCCAGGTTCTCCCCAACCAATCACTAATT